AATGATTATGCAGCCGAGTTCTCATGCAGACAGTGAAATCTTGAAGAGGTGCCTTTGAGGCGTGGAATCTGACTGTGAGTTCGCATGCGATCATGGGTGCGCATATTTTGAACAGTGTCCGTTAGATTGTGTTCAAGATTTTGATGTTTGTAGTAAAAGGGGAGAAGCTCTTCAATGAGAGTTTGCGAAGCCTAAAGTTAAAGAGTTCATCCGTCAAGATCAATGGAATCACCAGGTCAACGAATTCTTTGCCGGGAATCTCGTTGGTAATACAATCCATAGGGCGACAAAGTACGGTTCAAACTTGTGAGTTTTCTGGGTATTCTTTGATCCTCATCTCCTTAAGGGACCGTATTCAGTGAAGCTTCAATTTCACTTCATACTCCATTCCGCCCTTTCGTCTTCACCGCCGATGACGGACCTCTTCCGCATGGTTCTCCATCTCGCGTTCCTTGCCAGCGTATACTGCGTTTATATTTCTCAGTGTATACACGTCGGGTCGCACTACGTCTCTTCCCTGACGACTCGACAAGCGAGTATGTGATCGTGATGCGATATTTTTTATAGTCCTCCCTTTGACTCTCGAAACCGGCGAACCTCCGTCCAACACATCAAACTTCCGAGCCCATTTAATCCGTGTCCGTTCTGTCGGAAGTCAGAGGAGCTCCTAATCCCTACCAAACCAACAGACGAGACACTCACGTTATCGCCGAACAACTAGAATTCAGCTAAGTGCATACTAGGTTCCGGAACCTCCAGGTTACAGCCCCTTGGGGCTAACTTAGAGCGTACCGCTGAGCTCTATAGCACTATCGGTGCCTCTGTGATGCCGTCCGTCGGCCTGCATATTCTGGATATGTACAGGACATGTCCGGGGGTGTCGGTCAATGAAGATATAATGGGTGCTATCTCCGCTTTTCTCACAGCGTTCGTTAGGATAATCTCTTCCCAAGGCTCGGGTCCTGCACGTTATAAGACACCAAGTCAGACTCAACTACGGTATAATACGAACTTCCCTCCTCTCTCGCTCAGCTGCTTTCCTCTCCTTCGTCTTCACTGATGCGTTCAACGACTCTACTTGCTCTTACCACGTTGATTACGGTCGCGACTGCCTTTCAGCTTCAAAGTAATGTCGAGGCATGTAAGTCACCAACCTTGCCTCCGTTGGTCGCCATAACTTGCTCAACCCATTTCTAGTCTATGACGCTGGCAAGCAAGGCTGTATCTCTGCAACCAATAACGTAGATGGAGCTCCTGTCGTGATTCACGACTGCAATACTGAGGATGTCTCCAAACACTCTTGGGAGCTCACTCTCACTACTGTAGGGAATGAGCAAAGGGGACCTCAACAGGTCAAAGCCTTCGGTGACAAGGTGAGGAGTTTTTGACTATTCACGTTAAAACCTTGGATTGCTTTTCTTGATTGAACGAGTCGGGACTGACAACCATTATCCTTACTCCCAAAGTGTCTAGATGTCAAAGATGGTGCGAACGCAGACGGGACAAAACTCCAGATCTGGACCTGTTCCGCCGGAAACCCCAATCAACTTTGGGTTCCTCTCGACGGGATCTATTACAACGACTTCCAGTTCCAGTGGGCCGGTACAGACAAGTGCATTGATTTGACCGATGGTTTGACGAACGACGGAAACCCTCTCCAGTTATGGACGTGTGATACCAATCGCGCAGACAAGAACTTCCAGAAGTTCTCTGGCCATCGGGTCCCGAACACTGAAAGCTACGACTCGAACTTGCTTGGGGGTCCCAGGGATGGTAAGACTTGTGTATGAGTTCCGACTAGCCTTGACTAATTTTATTCCCCTCATGCGACAGTCAAAGGCAACCCTGAAATCTGTATGGTGGCGGAAAGCAACACTGACGGAACCCCGGTGTCCATCGTTAGCTGCGACCAACTCGCCCAAACATTCCCGGACGGTAACCAGACTTGGGTCGTTCCTGAGCGACCGATAACTGGTCCTATCAAGACCTTTGGAGGAAGCAAGTGTCTCGATGTCCGAGACGGCAATGATGCCAACGGAACGCCACTCCAGCTTTGGTCTTGCATCGAGGGAAGCATGAATCAACAATGGAAGTTTGACTCTCCTCAAGATACGTCCACTATCTCTTGGGTTGGTAAGAACAAGTGTATCGTTGTTCCCAACCAAAATATGACTGCCGGAAACTTTGTGAGTTAACTCCCTTCCTTCGTTTTGGGTGATGAGTGACGAGACTGAATACTTGAATTTTCTCTCCGTAGCTTCAAATCGCGGACTGTGACTCCTCCAACGTTTACCAGCAGTGGTTCCTCCACCTGCTTCAGTTTCCCTTGGGACCCTTGGAACAGTAGTAGGTGGACTCGTATGGTTATAGGACGGTTGAGGAATACTTATTCGGGACTTGATCTACTACTAGAGTACTGGTAGCGTTCTTTTTTTAATGTTTGATCGGGCATTTATCCCCATGTGTTGGGTAATATACCTTTTGGAACAAGTAAGTGCTTGCTATTTGCCTGATCAGCAAGATAACTCCGACTCTGCCTGCTTGAGCCTTACGCTCAAACTGAGCATGTATGGCTTATTGTCGCAACCGGTAATTAGTGGCGTGGCCACTGTTTCTACCCAAAGATTCACATCAATAAGGAAAGGGGTGGAGCTTCGAGTATCGACCAGAAATCACACCTCTGGAATACCGAAACATTGCAGATCAACCGATACATAGGTCAGATCTTGACATCATCGCAGTAAACGGCATCTCCGAGGGGTTTGAGTTTTGATGGCACTCCGGGGTTGCTAGGCAACGCCCCGAGCTACGTACATTTGGGAAATTCATTGAACAATCGCTCTGCCGGCTCAACCTTAAAACCGGATTGTGATAACAAAACGCACCCCTACAGGCAACCCTTACGCGACAGAACAATAAACACTCTATGTCACCAAGTCGGAATGACTCACTCAGCCTCCAAGACTTTGCATTGACAAGTCGGTATCCTTTGTTGAATTTAAAATGAGCAAGTTCCAGCGGAAAGTCATTCTTCTGATACGAGTTGATGGCCGCAACTCAGCTCTGTTATCGACCAGGCAAGACTTCAGAGGAATCACTCTGTTGAGGTGACGTCCAATTGTCAGCTCTGTCTCTGTAAAAGATAATAAGCTTGAGCCGCTGAGGAGTTGAACGGAATCACAATCCCCGGGGGTGCGCCGACCATTATTTAGCGTGCGATAAATGTGATCGAGAATGGCAATAAGAAAGGATGAACTTTGCCGGTCCGGAAGTCTCACATTCTTGGTTAAGAAACGCGGCTAAAATCCTGGGTGAATCATTGTCCGAGAACCTTTTACTTTCACGACCGTGAAACTAATTACCCGATGAGCGCCCGCTTATCTACTGCCAAAATAAAGCGGGTAATTAGTTTCAGGGCAGAATAAGTGCTGGCCAGTATATTAGCAGGAATCTGTAAAAGTGATGACAAGGTCTAAATCATAGGAAAGAAGGCCATGACAGAATTCAGAGTTTGATGTGGAGTGATTGGAGTCAACTGAAGGACAAGGTACCACATTTTGCAATATATGTCAATGAAGAACAACTTTGGAAATGCAGCAACACATTGGTAAGTAGAGCTCTGGTATCTTTTAGTTGAGATATATCTTGATGTCTTCTAGAAGGTCTGATGGTTCATAGTACATCAGAATGTTTTATTGTTCCTAATCCTGCCAAAAAGGTGACCAGTATGTGGGGTATAGAAACCGATTTTCAAAAGTATGCCTTCTTAGAGAATGTAAGTAATTGAAGTTGGAAATCCTGCTTAGACTTCCACTGAACATCTTGTTCAAAGTGTGACTATATATGCCTCAGACACAGATTTCAAGTTATTTCAGAGGATTCTGGAACATTTGATTGATGGGGGATTAACCAGAGGGTTTATGAGTACATCAGTCAGATAATCCTCTGTGTTTTGAGCTCACATCTCCTGCAAGATTGTTGATCATGCTAAAAAGCCTATGATTAGTCTTAATTTCGGCCCTGGCAGCCAGAAGGATGGAACCAAAACTACACAGATAGTGATTGTGTTGCTTTGAGTCCTAGTGAGCCTGACATGTGGACAAGAATAAAAGGTATTAGTGAGAATACTTTGTTCAGGCCTGGAAGAACAGCTAGAAGTGGACACTAATTGCTTGTTTGTTCTTGATGTGATCTCCATGACAAAGACAAGTATCGGCACAGACTAGTCCTGATTAGCCACTCTGCCAAAGGCTAGCAATCATTGAGGGACCTATGTCCTATATGAATACTGTGTATCTTCACTACCTACTCAATGATGTGGGCACATCATATTGGCTTGTCACTTTGAAGTTGTGGAGCTTACTCGATCTTTTCCGACTGAGACCCTGAACCGCCCTTACCGCGTTCATCAAAAGCCATAGCTTCCATCAAGTCTTTGAGAAGGAAATACTAGGATGCCGGCAAATTGTTTCGTAACTAAGATATGACCCAATGTACTGTTTAATCTTGACCAATGAAAATCCACCCTCAGACTCAATGACATTGTTCAGGAATCAGCGGATATCTGGGTTGAAACATAAAATGTATACAGCTCTCTAAAAGCTTTCAATAGAAAAAAGCTCCTTTAAGCATACTCCTTGAGGACCAGAGTATTAACTTTGGAAGTCCGTAGAATTGGTTTTTGTCAGGTAGTATTCTGCTAGCTTGCGTTCCAACTTCCAACACTCCCTGATATGAAGTCTCTTTATAGTGATTTGATAAGAACAGATTTCAGTTCCTCCAGGTAGGGGACGTTGGGCATTCCCAGGCTCCCGCTATAATTCAGAATGAGTTTTTGATTTTGATGCTTCTCCCAGCCAAGACCGACTAACCCCATATCCGGGATTCTCGGGCCGCTACCCACTTTGTTTACTGTTTAATGCGCAGTAAGTAACTGTCAGTGCCGGCGTCTAATATGTCTCCGCTAGGCTAGGTGCCATATTTTAGTTATTCCGCGATATGAATAACTAGCGCAGGGGTTATCGCGTTCGCTTCGCATCGACGCCTTTATTTACGGTCTCAGGTCTGCGAAAGGTCTCCGGTTCGAATCTGGAGTTGTCCATGAGCTCTGCAGGTATCTTTTTTTTACCGAAAACGGGTATTACGGCCGGCCCTCAAGTGGAAGGTTAAACTCGGGCCAGTTAAGGACACGAGGTCGGGGCGGAGTGATCGGAGTTTGAAACTTATTTTTTTCTACGCTGGGCATTTGGCAGGTTTTTGTTGATTCTCGCTTTGCTCTCGCCATCACCCCATCACTCAGATCACCCATCACTAACAGGCAAACAATTGGGTGTAATCAAGGTGTAATAGAATGTATACGAACAGCTGGTAAGTTTCATTGACAATTGATTCACCCCTACCCTGCATGTTCGTCACTGCCGTTTCCGTCGTCGCGTACAACGTTCTCTTTTACTGACGACCACTCATGTCGTTTTCCCTCCCAGGCCTGGGACGCACAGTGAAGCATCTACAGGACCAAACTTATTGCGGCTACCCACACCACCGCCAACAACAGCAACAGGTACGACACCGACAGCGGGAACAGTGATTGATCCAGCCCTAGAAGGAGAAAATAGTTCAGCGCGAATTGGAGCGGGAGGAGGAATCCCACCGAAAATGAGAAGATCACCAGTATCTTTGTTGACTGGCTCGAGAACTGAAAAAGAGGAAGATTATAGCCCACCAGAGGTATGTTGTTTCGCTACTTTTTTCACAATTCTGCTTTTGTTATTGCTGTCCTTCTGGTCAACCAGAACGACTGCGTGATCATTGCGGGCCGCTGGGGGATGCCTAAATAAAGGACCTTCCAAGAGTACCCTTTACGCAGAGTTATTAGTCTGTACGGGGGTCGATTATGATGAGCATTGTCGCTTTCAAGGCAATGAATTTTATTTTCTTAAGACTGGTTTTTCGGCTCAGATACCCGTTCCTCTGCATTCGGAATACTAAATGTGGCGAAGAAGCTAATTTTTTATGCTGTTAGGCCCACTTGCAGCTTTCGTCCAACTCTGCAGACAGGTCAACTATTTCACACCCGGATATGCCTAATTCCTCTTCGTCAAAGCGTTCAACTTCACCCGCCGCTTCCGTTTCAGAAGATGGTCATGCACGACCTAGATCGACAGACGAGCCTCGCGGTCATAATGGACTTCATCATCCTTCTAGCTACGGGTACCCACCCCCACCTATGCACCACGGTCATACACCATATCCCAATGGGCATCCTCATCATTTACCACCACCACATATGTCACATCACGGCCATTATTATTCCCATCCACCACCACCGTTGACCCATTATTCGTATTATCCACCACTACCAGGACATGTAATGTCTCCATACACTCATCATCCACATCAACTTCCACCGCCTCATTCGTATCCTCCACCACCACCTCTACAGTCGCCTCATCCGGGCTCGCCACATTCACATACGTTGCCTTCTCCACATGGGCATAGTCAGATGCATGGTCCTGGGGGCCATTCTCAGGTTTCATCGCATCCTCATCCCTCTCGGGAACCGTATTCTCCTGGTGGATACGCGTCTGGCCCTGGGCCACAAGGTCCAGGAGGGGGTGGATACCCACCACCACCGTTGCCAGGATCGTCTACTGGAGGAGGAAAAGGGAATGCATATCCATCCGGGGGAACGCCCATGGGCGAGATTGTGTATACTGAGGATGCAGCTACGAAGTTGAGTGATCGGGTTAGGAGGAGATGTTTTAATTGTTATACGACGGATACGAGTACCTGGAGAAGGAGTAATTTGAATCCTGGGAAAGTGGTGAGTTACGCTTTGGTCGTTGGTCATTCAGAGGGGTCGTTAATTCTCTTTCTTTCTCCTTTCCTGGAAATGCTCAGCTATGCAATAAATGTGGATTGTTTGAAAGAACACATTCAAGACCTCGACCGGAACAGTTCCCACATAAACGTGGACCACTTGCTGGACCTGGTTTACGGAGGAGTGGGTCGCCTCAGTCACCTGGCGGTGTTCCTCCCGTTGCTACTGGGGGAGGGAGTACGAGCCCTTCGAGTCCGTATCCTCCTCCGGGTCCAGGACCAGCACCCGGACCTTCATCTCAATCACCATATTCACCTCATGCACCCCTTCCTCCTTTGTTGACCCATACGCCGTCGCAACATCATCCACTCTCGTCGCCTCACTCGACGCATTCGCACCCTCATTCACCATCGTTGAATTCAAGACAAACACAATCCATGTCGTTGCCTCCTCCTGGATCGTTAGGTTCACCAAACTCTTCTCATCCACCTCCTCCGTATGCGCACATGACACTCCCGCTACCTCGAGGTACAAGTGGTGGTTCTGGTTCTGGACATGGGCATGGTGCACAGTTACCACCGATTTTATATGGTGGAGATTCGGATAGGGGGGAGAGGAATCCGAACGAGAGGGAGAGGGAGAGGGAGAGGTTACCACAGATTCAGACTTGGGCTCCTCCAGGACCGGGGACGTATTCGCATGGACAAGGGGCTCAACATTCTATTTTGAGTCCGGGGGAGAGGGAAGGGAAGGAGAGGGATTCTTCGCAGTATCGTCGTCGTCGTCGTTCTGGGTCGGGAAAGGTAGTTTTATCGGAATCCCGGTCGGAAGCGCAGTTGAATGGGAGGGCGAGGTCTCCGGGGGGTGTTAAGGAAGAGGTGGATGTTCAGGAGATGAAGGGAGGGAAGTTTAGTAAGAGGAAGAGGGAGGATGGGGATGATGGGGAGGTTGAGAGGGGGGTTAATGGGCGTGATTTGCGGAGTCCGAAGGCTCGTAAGGAGGAGGAATTTGAGAGAGTGAAGGTGGAAGTATCGGAAATCCGGGAGGAGAGGAGGGATGAGAGGAGTGAGGTTAATGATTCGAAAGTAGGGGTGAAGAGTCCTCCTGAGGAAGAAGAGGAAGATGAGAAAGCCAATGGTGATGCTGTTGCGGTAGGTGAAGATAGGAGTGAGGATGGTGAGGGGAGGTAAACGATCCGCGCCGCGAACTCTCGTTTGATCTCTTTCTATGGGAGGCGCTGGCCGCACACCCTCTGCTTTTTTTTTTGCTTTTTTTTTTATCTTTATGCTTTTGCCTTGTTCTCTTTTCTTATTTTTTGGATTCTTATCCGCGACGTTTATCGTCATTTCCCTCAGACGCCCCTCGGTCTAAACTTGTTGTATCTCTCTTTTTGTTAGAAACTGAAATTTGCTTTTAGTCTATAGTATACCTCCACCGGTCGGTACCTTGACAATTTTCTTTTTTTGTTTTTATATGGGCTGTTTGTTTTTTTTGTATTCCGAATGTTCGCGATATGTTCTTAAATTAATTTTTTTTTACTTACTGGTGTAGCTCGAGTCATAAACATACCCTGCTTCTATACCAAGATTTATTGTTTCCTGTTGTTTGTCGTTTCAATAGCTATAGCTATCTATGCTTTCCTTTGTTAACCTCCTTGCTCCTCCGGTTTATATCTACGTAATTTGGTTATACGTATCCGTCCATCAATCCGCTAGTACGTTCTGTTTACAATTGCGCATCCTTCATGTCAAGATTTGAGAGCCAAGGTGCTCATACGAAGACGAAAAACAGATTACAGGCCTAGGCGTACGGCTGGCGACGGTCAAAAGGTATGAGATAATAGGTAATGAACTTGCTGCAGCTTCCAGCTTTAGGAAACACATAAAAGAAGAGAATTAAAAAACGTATACGATTCCTTTAGCCAGGGCCCAACTGGGAATTGAACCCAGGACCTCTCGCAACAGAGGGAATGTTCCCAATACCCAAAGCGAGAATCATACTACTAGACCATTGGGCCGATACATAAAGGTAGCTTCTTGATAATATTACAAGTGATGCTCGACTGAATGCATCTTGACCAGAGCTGGTGCGAGCACCCCTCGTCCTTATCACTGACACTTACGCCAGGGCCTTTGATACTCATGGCCTCCCTCGAGCCGGCCTCAGTGGTGATGAATACGTGGCAATAAGTGATTTACCTGGATACAAAATCGAGTAGGATCAGCCTGTAACGCTTCGTTGCTTGTGTAGCGTCGATGTGCAGTCATGATCCATTCTCATTAGGCTACGCCAGCCCATGCTACTTTTCATACGGTCGCTGATTGAAGAATTCAACGTTCTGAAGGACATGAGGCTGGCAGAGAAAAGAACGCAATTGGCGATGGTACGTTTCTAATGACCTACTTGTATTTCATGACTGGCCCTGACGATAATAGTACACTCGCTTAGGCGAGGAGTGACGTTCAAGTTATGGGCGCGTCTGGAATGCGTGTACTAGAAGAAAATAAATCGCTGCGGTCTAAATCGTATAATCCCTGTGGGTTGTAGGTGAAGAATGAAGGATGTTTCACTTTGAATCGAAGAATTCAACGTTCCCTAACGGCGGAGAATGGGTCCGTTATCCTCATTTACCTACACATCCTCGAACTAACGCCTACCTCCAGGCCATATTGGGGCAAGATGGTGCTTGACAACTCCGTACACTAACAGGGGGAAATCGCTGTTGATGTTCAGGCAACGGGAGAAACGCGCCGTAGTCGGGTGGAAAAGACGTGGTTTCAGTGGTGTCATGTATTGGGAAGTTTGCTAGGCAGCTGTTCCTCGTCACGATATTTGGCTTGGAGAATCATCGACACCTCCATGCAGCTTTCATTGCCCCCGTAGAGCTACCCACGGCATCATCACCTGTTGCATCGAAATCATGCTTCCCTTTTCGCAACCCATTTCACAATGTCACAAAGCGGAACAGCCAGGTTGAACTGGATTCATTTAAAGGTTAACTTGCACAGCAGCTCACACCACACTCCCATCCACCCGTCATTTTGCTTCCTGAGGGAAGTGGCGATACGAAGCGACGTGAAGACTTATCATGGTCGGCTTCGCTCACTTACACCTCTACGGAACTACCGCACGATCTTACCTGGCTCTTATCCTCGATACTATTGCCTCGGAGACGTCCTGTTCCACGACTTACTTCCCAACTTTGTCAAGCTGACACGATGAGGATTTGAATCATATTTCGACTTGGAACCTCCCTTTCATCTGCCCTCGCGCGTCAACACCTATCATTCGGGCTTTCAGGGTCTCATCTTTTACCAAGGTCACCCCGAAATCCTTTGTATATCACATCCCCTCTCAGGTATCACTTCCGAGGAAAGTGACGATGTGAAGTTGTCTGTCGGCACGCAAGGATATTTCTCTTGCTTTGTGCCTCCAACCATGGGATTGTGATTATAGAGTGATTTTCCTTTGTTCTAATCACAATTACATATCACACACTCGGGCTTTTTTCATCAGCCATTCATTCATTTTGTCTTTGTCACTTCGCCCTCGCGGCCTCGTGTTTATGACCTGGGGCGGAGCGGCAAAATGCGGAAGGTGAAGGGATATGTAACAAAGGACTCAATGTAAAATCACATCCCGAGGTTTCCTTTGTGAACTCGTCTTTGGTTCAATGCTCAAGGGTTCTCGCCAAATCACTCGCGCGGATACCTTACCCGGGCGTTAAAGAAAATCTCGAGCTGCACTTCTACGTTTGGAGCGGATGGTCGACTTTCTTTGTTGCACTTTCGAAAACGATCGATGGCGCCTTGTTATCCGCAGCCTGGCGGTCCTGCCACCACGCTGGCTTGTGCCTTCCTCATCTCCTCTCGCCGGGGCGGAACATTATTCGTTAATCATTTCGTGACTATAACGAGGGTGTTCCCTCGATAGCGTCACATCCTCAGCTTTAGGTGCTTCACTCAACTTCACGACGAGTGAATTTTGAGGGGTGGGCTTCCGCTTAGGCTCTTCGGTTCCAGTCGGGTTCCCGGTTATGGTATTTTGGTTTTGTGATTTTAACGAGGGCTTTCGTTCGATATTCTCCGTTTTTGGTTATGAATGCAAGAGCCCTGGCTTAGCCTCTTCGATTCCAATCGGCTTTCTCGTCATCGTGGGTTTGTGATCTTAACGAGGGTGCTCCCTCGATATGGTCGCATCCTGAAGTTTATTTCTTCACTGAAATTTAGGAGAGAATGTCCAACTTTGGCTATACATACTTGGGCTGACCCGAGCTTGCATGCAGGGAGATTTCCAGGAGGTTTTGATGGGATATATAGTCTATCGAAGGTGTTATTGGAGTATCTTCCCCCTCTCCTCTCCCCCCTCCTCCTCTTGACTCCCCATCTTTGGCGTCGCCTCTCCTCCTCCCCCACCTTCCTCCCTTACTTTCGACAAGGACCCCATCAACGAACATCAGAGTTGCTATCCCATTCCTTTTCTATCCGTGGAGGAGCATCCTTTTCGTGTTTTAACCAATTCTTCCTCGGCGATACGACGGATTGCGACTGTCTTCGAGGACGAACTTTGCCTCCTTTCGTTTCTCATACGATTTGAACACGATCGGAAGGGTGTTTCAGCTCGTTGACGATACGGAAGGCAGAAGTGACCTTTGCCTCAAGTACTTTGTGTTTTTCGAGGGCATGGCAGCGATGCCCATTACCATTTATGGTGCAGATGACTAGTATAGAGCTCGTTGGATATCAAGGGGTAGGAAATGTTCTGTTCCTCATGGAGTTAGATGAATGTTCGAAGGTCTCCATAACGGACTATGCAAAAGTGGATGGGAAGAGAACGAGGGGTATTTGAGTATAGAGAAGAGGTTTTCTTAGTGTTTGGAGGTGTCGTTGAGCAGGTACGTCCCTACTTCTTCCCTCCCCGGCGGAAGCAATGTTGAACTTATTCCGCTCGAGAATTCTAGAACTTTTTACCTATCCTCCGTTGCACTCTGTTGCCACCCGCTGCTCCTTTCACTGCCCACGATCCTTGCAAATACCTTGAATCTACCCCGTGCTGCAGTGTCACATTGTGGGACTGCGTTCGTCCGAGCACTCACCTCCTTTCTCAATACACGACGTAAAAGGAATTAACACTAATCGCACTCGTTATCGTCGTGCCATCGATATACCTTTTCGAGTGAGTCTTTGTGACTATAATGAAGGTTCAGAAGCCCGTGCCCCGTGGACGTCGCCCTACATGACACCTTTTGGCGAAGACCTCGGACCTCATGTCAATGACGTACCGACCTCGTCTTTGTTCTGGCTTCATTCATGCTGTAGGCGGAGTATTCATCATTGGAGGCTCTGTTACGGACGAGGCGAGACTGAAGCTCCACTCTGTTGGTTTGGGTGGGCAGAATCCTCGATTGAACTCGCAAGTCGAACGAACGGGAGAGAGAAATAGTAGACGGGAGAGGGATGGCCTCACGGTTTCCACGTCACGACACACGTTTACCCCACGATTTGTCTTTCGTTCCACCTTCATTCATCGACGAAGAACGTGCTCGGTCCTAGTCTTTATGCGATCCTCTCTTTCATGTTTAACACCTCACGATTGAAGTAGCAAAACGACCCTTGATTTGCCTTTTATGGCAAATCACACGCCGTTCCTGGACATTTTCGTGATCTGAACGAGGGTGTTCCCTCGATATAATCCCCGGCGTCGCGAATCTTTTGCTTTCACAGGGTTCACCATGCTCTATTATTACACGTCACCCTGCGGTTTTGCCGGCTGTAGTCCAAAGTCTTTCAAAACCACTCGCCCCCTTGTCTTTCATCCATGAAAGACTTTCTCGGCGCGATGAAAGACAAAGACAATGAATAGTTTCTCTTTCTCTTTGACGATGCGGAATATAAAATCTAGTTGAGCTCTTGTGTGTGTCGAACCATCAGCTCTTGGAGTTTCTTTGATACTCATCTGCTGTCCTTTCGCGCTTCCTTCTCCTCTATTACGCTGTTACCTCCAAGATGACTTCTTACCCTAATCCACTCCATGTCCCTGTTCCTTGCATTGCCCGCTCCTCGTACTCCTCCCTTGGGTTGGCTATTCAGACTAGCGGTTCTTCCACTCGCAGACGCGTACCACAAACGCCTATGGGAAAGTCGATTCCGCACCCTTCGAATGGCATCTCGTTCGATTTCGTTAGCTACCCTCAACAAGGAATCCCACTGAAAGAGCTGTATGCTAGGGGCACACATGCGCTTCAGCAGATGATGCAAGGCGCAAATGATCCCGTACTAGTACATACTCGTCTTGCGAGAATCAACTTGCATATTTCGGTATGTACTTTCATTATTAATCTTTACTCATTGATGAATACTCCCTCTCCAGTGGCCTGGGTACGAGCATCTTCAATGGTATCGATCCATCGAAGTTGTTACTTCCAACGGTCCGGCGACAAGAGCCTACCTCGCGAGTGTTATCGCTCAACATTTTGCGTCATATTTCGAGGTGAACAATTTATGTGCACGGAAATTAAAGGTTGCTTACACGTTGTTTCTTTTTGTAGAAAGCTCAATACGAGCCTACTAGAATCCCCGAGTGGCGGCTTGGTTTTCAGGGTTTTTCCCTCGATCATATTATTCTACTCTCCTTGCACCATGCTTTTGAGGATTCGTTCCAGGTTGAAGTAGCGGTCGATTACCGATGATTTCTGGGTCTTTTCAATTGGTCTCATCTTATACCGTTATTTCCTTCTCGTCTTTGTATCTGATCTCTATGTCATCATTTTGTAGAGTTAATACCGTCACCACATTCAACCATATCTCTATCGAGTTCCGAGTAGTAGGGTTCGTATCTGGATGATCTCGGTTATGAATGCGATCCGTGGTCATCGGGATGTGGGGGGGACTTGACGCTTGACGTACTATCTATTCTGACGAGAACGGCATGGGAGATATAGCATACCTAGGCATCACTTATCCATTGATGCTTCTATCTGGATTCACTCAAAATTTTGATTGTCAAGCTTCAAGCTTC